AGGCGGCGGGCATTGGATCGGCAGATAAGGTGTGGGGGAAACTAAAAAATGGCAGAAAATTGGAAGCACTGAATCACTGAAGTTGAACGTTAAGTCGTTAAGATCTAGATCTAGATCTAGATCTAGATTCTAGATCTAGATCTAAATCTAGATCTAGATCTAGAATCTAGATTAGATTTATAGAACGAAGACACTTCCTTTTTTCCGGACCTGAGTCCGAATAACATTTTTTCATATTCGGACTTGAGTCCGAATAATAATTTTTTTTATTCGGACTCGAGTCCAAATATATGAAAAAATGTTTTTCGGACTCGAGTCCGAATAACGACGGCCAGAATAGAGGTGATGTGATGTTCTGAGTCTGTTAAAGTTTCGCAGTTTCAGCCGTCTTTTATCAAGTACATTAGATTCTAGATCTAGATAGATTCTAATATTATATAAGTCTAGGGCCTAGCCTAACTGTCCAGAACGTGTCCCGTCTGCTGTCACTGTCAGGTCCAGGCAGGGGTTCTGGACGCGAGTCGTCGTGAGCGAGATCAATTGGCCACAGGGCGCAGTGCTAGTAGAGTGCAAGACAACTATGGTGTAAATGAATGAAAAAAATGCATATTAGACAAATACAATACGAAACATTTTACACAGGACATGAACATACCATGTCTTAGATCTATCTATGTTTTGCTGAGTTGACTAGATCTACGATTTTCGTAACCCAGTCAGTAGGAACGCGCCATATTGCGTTGTTTACAGTGAGCGCGCAAGAGACTGGTTTCCGTTTTCCTCTCGATTTAGTCCACAGTTTTATGGCCCATCATATTTCTATTTTAAAAATATAATTTTTATTCGGGTTTTTTGTTTGATGTTTTTGGTTTGTTTCTTTATTTGGAGGTGGAGGTTTTTTGGGGGGGAGGGGGGGTGCAAGGGGCTGTGTTGTCTCTCTCAAGCCGATTTTAAAAAATTGTTGTTTTTTTGTTTTTTTAACAGAAGTGGATGTCGTCTATGGATTCTTAGCTTAAGCCCTACTGTTTTATCGTTTGTTTGATTCTTACAATTAGATCTACATGTATTTACCCGTTTGATCCGTTGAGTTCAGGAAACAAAACAGACATGTTCTTATATATATTTCTTTTTCACCTCTAGACCTACCTTCGTCTGTGATCGTTGCCCCATGATAAATGTATTTGAATTGCTGCTTCTCACTTGTTCTATTCTCTCACTACCAGTCTATTGTTTTGCCAGTTGATTTTGATGTGACCGTTATTTTTGTTCTATTAGCGTTCCCTTTTCCTGCTTTCACAATTTCAGAGATAGACTACACGTATTACAAATTTTAGTTCATGTTTGCAAGCAGGGTTGAGGTCAGATTACAACCATCGGCAACCTATCATGCTTCGAGAAAGCTCATTGACCTTAGTATGACACCGTTGATATTTTGCGGTGCTCTAATATCATTATATGTTAAATTTTTAATAGTTAGCCAGGACATTGTGCTTGTGAAATATTTGGTTTATGCTTGTTATTGGTTTCTTGTCTTTTCTGTTTATGGGTGCTATATGGCACTGCACGACGATAGGCCAACTGCGCCTGGTTCGTTCTACTTAAATTATTCTTATTCTATTGTTTATACTGAACGACAAAATGAACAATACGTATTTGTTTATTTATCATTTAAACTATTTTTTAGATAAGCTTTGTCAGATTTCTAAACACATTGGAGGATCTCTTTATGTGCAACATTGATTACGTGTCTCTACATTCATCTTGTCAGTTTGTTTGTGTTTGAGCGCTTAAAGCTGCTTGCACTGTATGCTTCCCAGGAAGCTGAGAATGTTTCGGAGTGTCCTATGGTCTGCTGGGGTAATAATAATATAGTGTAAAGCGCATAGAGCCAGCTGTTGAGCGGGGATATGCTCTATACAAATGCTGTGTATTATTATTATTATTATATTATTATTATTATTATTATTATTATTATTATTATTATTATTATTATTATTATTATTATTATTATTGCCACGGTGAATTGTATCACAGCTAAAGTTGTGACGCAACAGGTACTCGTATCTCAGTATCTGGGTGATTACACCTAAGATAAACGATTGAAATGTATATATCAGCCTTGAAAAGTTCCCAAAACGATCCGAGTTAAAGAGCGCTCAGACTGGGGTGGAAGCAAATCACGGCGATTCGCTCTGTACCTGAGCTTTTTATTGTTTTAGTAAAAGATTTTACGGCGATCGCAACTGCATAAGGTCAAGGGGTGGATATCAACAGAGAAGTCCTCACAGGGAATCAGACTTACTCTGCTCACCTCTATAGTAACCTCGCACAAAGTCTGCTTCGACTATCAAGACACCCCGGAAATAGCGGGTCGCAAGAGTGTGACAATTAATATGATAAAAGAAGTAAATGTAAAATGACGATAGAACAGATTAGGAAAGAAAAAGCAGCAGTGCCCTGTTGCAGTTCAGACACAGTTATGGGCACGACATCGACGAATCAGTCCATTTACAATTCTACTGTACATAAGAACAGGTTAATGTCACCCCTTTGGGAATGTCCTCAAGACACTTCTGTCAGTGACACCCGGCCAGGGGTTGTAGCTGAGCATGATATATATACCAACTGAGCTACCCGAGCGACTCTGGTCAATCTGTGTCTTGTATCAGCGGGAAAAATGTGTAGCGGCTTTGTTCTATATTTCAGCACCTGGAGAGGGTGGTAAAGGTTTACTTGAGGTCCCCATTCTGAACGTCTTATTTGACCTACTAAACACACACGGGATCTTCAGTCTCTGAGGCACCAATACGGGGGTAGCCGTGATGTCATGCGCAAAAAGACGATTTTAACTAAATTTGAGAATGTAGACATGAAGTAAACGTTTACCAATAATAATATGATGATGATAATAATAATGATA